TAATTAATCCATTACCAAAAACGACTCTGTGGAATATGGTATCATTATAATAATCTTCTAAACACAATTGTATGAAGTTACGACAGGCCAGAGGAGCCTCTTTGGACCACAGTTCAATATCAATATCACCCAGTGTGGTCTTTAATAGTATCTGAGGGGAGGGGCCAGTAGTCACTAATACAGCTGCTGCTGGATGAACTACCTTTCCTTTAGTAGGGGGCTCTGTTATATTTATATGGAACTCATTTCTGGAGCAGTTGAGCTCAAATCACTGAAATCAGGAGTTCAGGACTACTTTCCGTATATCTACTCAGTATATTCAAATCACGTGTTTCAAGAAATTAATCATAATAATAATCAAAAGGAAAAAATATTATTAAAACACACTAAGCAGAAACAATGCAGAATGCATTCAAAATATTATTACTATTATTAAAGAGTAATACCATAAAGAGATTTCAGTTTATCAGGTATTCTCTCAGCAGCTGCACGGTATCCCGTTTCCTCCACAGCGTCTATCAAAGTCTGCCATGTTCTACTAGCTACATTGTCTGCACCCTCTAGCCATGCTTCTATAGTCTTCCTCAAGTGCTCGTTTGCATCACCTCCATCATCTTTAATGACATTGAGTCTTGGCTTATATAGACCTAACTCTAGCCCCAAGTCAACCCACTTTGTTGGATCAAACTGAGCTTTAATTAAAACTTTTCGTACCATATTGAGATCGTTGATACCTATATTAGCATTAAAAGATTATTATTGTACATGTATCATGGTAGCCTCTTACCTAGTTGTCCGGCTCCATCACTATCAGGATTACCAGTGGTACTGTCTTGATGAGGTTGTGCTGGTAAAGCACCAGTAGCTATATAGGAAAATCAGTGAGTCACGAGAAATTATGTAATATACTATTATTTTGATCATTACAAAGAGTACATAAATTATTCAAAATTGGAAAAATAGAATGTGCTTAAGAACAATTCACACTGTAGTATGTTATGGCCAGAAGTACATGTAAAAATATGCATAACATAAAAGTTAAAAAATTCTAAACTTTTATGTTACAATTAAAAGTGATGCTAATACATCAATGGTGGTCTCCATCAGAATACTCTTCATTGTGCATCACTAACCTGGACTGGATGATTGACAATCACTAAACCAGCACCTGTAGCTGTTATCATCATGTTGTAGTACTTTACAGTGTGATCGACATTGAGTACATTTAGTAGAAGATTCATCCTGCTGAACAATGCAGTAACATTGTTTATTTTCACTGGGGCATTTGAATGCAAAGATATGGTTTTTATCAACTTTCAGATCGTCACTGCTTTTTTTGATAGCATCTGCAACTAACTCTCGAATTTGTGGACAAAATTCCTTGCTGGACTCATCTAAATGTATTTCAATATGTGTATAGCGATTGATGATATCAATGGTGCAGTCTTCATTTTCAATGTAAACACGGAGAGACATGGCATCATTATATCTGTAATATTCGTTGTCTGCTGGATCTGGAGTGAATTTTATGCTATCTTTCTTCTCTAAAAGGTGTACGATGGTTAAAGGAAATAATCCTTGAGGGATGGCTAGAGTTGTTGTGTCACTATTGTTAATCTCCCATGCTATGAGAAGTGGTTGTATTTCTGTTGGAGGAGGATTGAGCTTATGCTGCTTATCATAAGGTGAAGATGGTAATGCACACGGAAAAAAATAGTCTCCTTCTTCTCTGTTTTTAACTTCGACAATAATGTGGAGATGTTTTAGAAGAGTGATCATGTGAGATGGTTTAAAATCTTCATTAAAAATTTGTTTACCAATTTTTTTAAAAAGATCTTCTTTAAAAAGACCAAAATCAATGAGACTGTCTCTTTCATCTGCTGAAGGAGGTGGATTTGCAATCAATGGTAATTCAGAATGGTCAACGTATGTGACAGCTATCAGACGTGAAAGGACACCAAGAATTGGTTCAGGATCAACAAATATTATATTCGGTAGGACTTCGTGAAAATAAAGAATGATAGTGACATTGTGTAAATATTGCAGAGCTTCAATGATATCTGATTCATCATCAATATCTGATTCATCATCAAGTTGGAGAGGCTTACCAATTTCAAGAATCTCTTTTTTTGTAAGGAAGCTTTGGTTTTTCTTCTCAGCTTCTATCTGTAGTGCAATCTCAAAAAGAAGCAATCGAATTGGTAACTTAATTGTCATGGCAACTCCAAAATTTAAAATCGTAGAACAAAGATCTTTACTAGCTTTCTTCCTTTTATGTTTATCTTCAAGCAATGTATTAACTGGAAATATAATTGAGTCTTCATGCTTATTACAAGGAATAATTTTCTTATTGGTAATATTTTTTATCAGACTTTTATTCATTTCTTTTAGCTTTGCTTCAGTTACCAACTCTTTACGTGTACCAAGAATAAGATAACGAGAGTGCTTAGGCATGTCAGAAACATATGGGAATTTGACAGGATTCAACATAGCTTCGGAGCTAATTGTTGAGTGTATTATATCGAGATTAGAATACTCCAGTTTTGTCTTGATAGGAAATGTATGTTGGTCAATACGAAAGTGAAACTGGCACTTGTCATCAAGAGGTTTGGTAAGGTCAATGGTGATGATATTCAGTGCAGCTGCTCTTGTAAAAAGAGGTAACAACTCTCGATATGCTGGTTGACCACCAGAATCAATAAAATAAACCCAATTTGGGCTGAATTTTTTAGCATCTTTGGTTTTTTGAATATTTTGAATTACTTCCATTTCATTTGGCATATTTTTGGTAGATTTATACTTGATTGGCTCTACTGCAGGTTGTTCATTCTTGACTGGTTCATTTGGGGGCAATTCAATTGTCATTGATTCTTCCATTAAAGATTCATCTGAACTATCAGACACATCATCTTCAGACATTGGTGCTTCATCATCTTCTGTAGACATTTTCTTGTGTTCTGTTCTTTCCTCTAAATGAAATGCTAGTTGGTCATATAAATCTTTTTTTTCAACCCTCTCCCACCAATTTTCATCATCAATGGATATTCTTGTTGCTTGAACAGCACGACAAGCTATTGGTGTACTATCAGTGAGTTTCTCAGGTGGTGGCTCATTAAGTAGGAGGTGTTTTGAACACGTTTTACCAGCTCCAGGTAGACCATGCATATTGATACGAGTGACTTTTAGCTCAACTTCACCTTCTTTCAGCCATTCTTCTATTTTTCCTAAAAATTATAAAGAAATCATTACTTTAGTGGCAATACAATTCCTCATTAACACGCATTCTCTAATTCATTTATTTCTATCAGCATTCTCTTTAATACTAACTTGAACTGAATGATTGAGAATCACTAAACCAACATTTATAGTCATCATTATCACTTTGCAGTACATCTGGTGGAGATTTTGGACATTGAGTACAACTGACAGAAGATTTATCATCATGAACGATGCAGTAACAATGTTCATTTTGAGGGCATTTAAATGCAAAAATATGATCATAGGCAACATTGATGTCTTTGCTGCTTCTTTTGATAGCTTCTGTGACTAATTTAAAAACTAGTGGACAAGATTCCTTGCGACCACCAAAACGTATTTCGATATGTGTATAATGATTGATGATGTGTACCAGGTGTTCATTGTAAACATGAAGTGACATAGCATCTTGGCATCTGTAGAATTCTGTTTCCGGTTTGTCTGGATCTGGATCAGGGGCAAATTCTACAATACCTTTTCTTTTTAAAAGGCATACAATGGTTAAAGGGAATAATCCTTGAGGGATGGCTAGAGTTGTTGTTCCCCTGTTGTTAATCTTCCATCCTATGAGAAGTGGTTGTATTTCTGTTGGGGCGGGATTGAGCTTATTGTAAGATGGTAATGCACATGGGAAAAAATATTTTCCTTCTTTTCTGTTTTCTACTTTAGCAATGATGTGGAGGTGCATTAGAAGCTTGACCATGTAAGACGATTTAAAATTTTTATCAAAAAATTGTAAACCAACCTGTTTAAAAAAATTTTTTTTTAAAAGGCCAAATTTTATGAGGCTATTTCTTTCAGCTGGTAAAGGAGGTGGATTAGCAATTAAACGTAATTCAGCGTGACCAACAGATCTGATAGCTATTAGACGTGAAATGACATCTAGAATTGGTTTGGGATCAACAAATATGATATTCGGTAGGACATCAGGATAATAAAGAATGATAGTGACATTGTGTAGATATTGCAGAGCTACATCAATATCTGATTCATCAAGCTGGAGAGACTTACCAATCTGAATCGCTTCTTCTTTTGTAAGGAAACTTCGTTTCTTCTTTTTAGCTTCCATCTGCAATGAAATCTGAAAAGTAAGCAATCGAATCGGCAAAACTATTGTCATTTCAACTCCACAATTTGAAATTGCAGTACAAAGCTCTACACTAGCTTCTTCCCTTTCCTTAGACCCAGCAGGGAGCAACGTATTAACTGGAAATATAACTGAGCCATGATCCTCATTTTGCTTAATGATTTTATCAGTAGCTCTATATTCTCTCAGACTTTCATTCATTTCTTTTAGCTTTTTCTCATCTACCGACTCTTTACGTGTACCAAGTATAAGATAATGAGGGTGCATGGGCATGTGAGAAACATGATTCAATATAGCCTCGGAGCTAATTATTGATTGAATTATATCACGATTAGAATACTCGAGCTTTGTATTAATAGGAGATGTACGTTGACTAATACGATATTGAAACTCACACTTCTCATCAAGACCTTTGGTAAGATCGATGGTGATGATATTCAGTGCAGCTGCTCTTGTAAAAAGAGGTAGCAACTCTCGATATGCTGGTTGACCACCGAAATCAATAAAACCGAAATCAATAAAATAAACCCAATTTGTACTAAATCTCTTAAAATTTTTGATTTTTTGAATATTTTGAATTACTTCCGTTTGAATTGGTTTTTTTTCATTTGGCTTATTCTTGACTGCTTCATTTGTGGGCAATTCAATTGTGATTGATTCTTCCATTGATGATTCATCTGAACTATCAGATGAATTACCATCTTCAGACATTGGTGCTTCATCATCTTCTGTAGACATTTTCTGGTGTTTTGTTTTGTCCTTTAAATGAAATGCTAGCTGGTCATATAAATCTTTTTCTTCAACCCTCTCCCACTTATTTTTATCTTCAACGGATATTCTTGTTGCTCGAACAACATGACAAGCTATTGATGTACTATCAGTAGAAGCTGGTGGTGGCTCATTAAGTAGGAGGTGTAATGAACACGTTTTGCCAGCTCCAGGTGCACCATACATATTGATACGAGTGATTTCTAACTCAACTTCACCTTCTTTCAGCCATTTTTCTATTTTTCCTAAAAATGAACATGGATAAAGTCACTACTATATAAATAGATGGTATATGAGTATGCATGAGGTTATGATACCGTATACTGGTTTATTTTCGTGGTAAAATATTTTCGCAAATTTCGCGGTTTGTGATCATTTGCAAAAATTTTTCACCGCGAAAATAAAGCAGTATATATATGGTAAGTGTTGTAGTTGCTGTAATGTATGAGTCAATTCTGAATACCTTGTGTTCCATCAGCAGCTGATAAAGTGTCTTCAGGTTCATCAATAGAAATACTGCTGCTGTTAATAGCTTGCACCACTGAAATGGATACTGTAAAAAGTAAAAAAATATGTAAATATGTGTCATACAATAAAACCAAAGGTAGTGGCAGGATTATCAGTTGTGACTTGTTTCTATAATGTAGCTACTGAGGGAGTGACTATGATAAAAAGGTTGGACATTGCAATGGGTACATTTTAACCTTAAAAGGATATTACCATGTATAAGCTTAGCCTACAAGTTGCAATTTAGTTAATTAGCCTAGATTATTTTTTTGAAAATTACATTGTGCAAAGAAGAGCTGTATTCTAGTTGTGACTTGTGTATGTGTATGAGTAGAGTGCATGGGAACAGTTTATGCAACACTTTCTAGTATAGTAATTCAAGACAAACAAATCCCGCAGATATTAGATATCCTGATAATGAATACTATGATTATGTTGCCAATAAAATGTGCCTTTCAAGCAGTATAATTAATGGAGGTTTTATAATTGCAAAACATGAAATACAAATACAATAGTTAACTGATACTGACTCTGATTGCTACATACCGTATTTCCTCGTGGAAACGTCTAGGCGTTTATTTCTTATAGAGACCTATTTGCCAGGCGTTTAAATGAAGTAGGCGTTTATACGAGGTGGGCATTTATAACCAAAAATAATCCTTACCACCATGTTTCAATAGACACAATGCGTAGTTTAAAACATGCATTGGGAAAGAGAAGAATTGTTTACTATAAACCAATATAACATTGCCAATAATGCTTAGAGTCAGGGTTCCTCAACAGATTTGGCATAGTGCTGATACAGGTTCTTGTCAATGGATTGTCAAATTGCTCAAAAATTGAGCCAAACACCCTGTACTATATACAGGGACACTGATCAAATTTAATCAAAAATGACAAGGAGAGAATTCTTCAATTTTTATTATGCTTTCTGATGCATATACATGTACTTATGTTGCATAGAAAATTTGAGCCAATTGAGATAAAATTTAGATTTTATCAATTTTTAAATTTGCTCAAAAATTGAGCGAAACATTTTGTAGTATTATAGTACAAAGGGAAATTTGAGTCCAATACTTCCAAATTTCTCTATTACATGCATACATGTACAGCAACATTCACCAAATTTCATCAAAAATACAAAGAGGGAATTTTATCAATTTTACAATGTTTTCTGATACACATACATGTACTTATGTTGCGTAGAAACTTTGAGCTGATTCCATTCAAAATTAAATTTTAAATAAATTTTTAAAGTTATTGCAAATGTCATGTACTGCGCTGTGGTGCTAGTTCGCTCACAAAGCTCATGCTGTTTAGCTTACTTAGCATACTTTGTGGGAAACCCTGTTTAGACTACATGATTGATAACTGTGGAACCTGAAGGACATACGTGTATTGTATATCAAGCCTGAGATAATTCATGTACATGCAAAAAACTTCATCTTGTTTACAATTATAATTACTACCATAGACAAGGTACTATGGGAATACAATTCTAATAACATTCCTATGCACTGCTGATAGACATGCAATACCAATACTCAAACTACATGTGTGTATCACAACCTTGTCATTACAAACTTACATTTTTCAATTTTTGCTACTCAATGAACATTAATTGGCAAGGCCTAGATATTTCTCCCTGCTAAAAATTCACTTCATACAGGCACAAGATTATAGGCAAAGCTATACTGATACAGGTACAGTTACACAGTATGAGACCCAAGCAATATCACAATTACTGTACTGGGATCAAAACAATGAGATGTTGGATCTCATAAAAAGTCATTAGGATTTCTGCATGTAGATAGACCCCACTCTGTATTAAGCATGGCAATTCATGCCGCAA